TATTTTTTGGAAATTCCCAAGTTCCAGGTTAAATGACATCAGTCGATTTGAAACATCGAAATAAATTGTCCATACAGCATTGTAGCACGTAGGCTACTTGATCGTCCATTGAAAGGTAATTTATATAATGTTTATTCGCATTTATTTAGGCCCTTGGGTTCCCATCGATACCATAATCAAATGTCATTGTAGGCCTATGTGTATCTATCTTTGGAGCTTTGTTTTACGTCGGCCAATGAAACCCACGCTAGCCGTTTATTTCGGTATCACCTTACATTAGAAAGAAATAATAACAATTAAAGTAAGTAAAACCCCTGACTACATCTGGTCGTGATAAAGCTTCCTCCGACGGTGGAAAGCCTCCCCCGTCGGGGAAAGCTTGTAAGGGAAAACTGTCAGCAGCTGGGATGTAACTTCACGGTTCATAAAATAATGATACGCCACAATATGGTCGGCGGAAACTAAACCTGCGTAGTAGTGTACACCACCCATTGGTTTACTAGAATCTAGTTCATGCTCAAGTGAATTTTAAAAAATCATAGGTATAATATAGTCTTTTTTTTAACTCTGCACTACTCCCACCAGGAAAATGCTTGGGGGTCAAAACTTTCGTATTTTAGATCATTCAAGTTATGAATGTAGTAAATATTGCAGGCCTAGGCCTAATCTTTTACAGTGGTAACAGTACAGCAAATGACGTCACAATTTACTGTATTACCAGCAACTATCCACACTCAAAGACAAAAAAAATGTTTTGAAAATATAATTTGCATATAATAATATGTTACTGGTTTTTATTCCATATCAGGGGTGTGGCGTTAGGATTTACCCGACAGGAGTTCCGATGTCCCCGACGAGAACGTAACGTTTGGTTTCCGTACAATAATAGACCCTGGCCAACACGCTATCTCCGACTCATCTGGCGATGTTAATTGCTCTGTTGGATCAAGGAGCGTTCCTAATTGCTCAATTTCCACGATTGCATTAAAAAAAAAAATTCTATGGAAACCAAGCTTGAGTGGGTTTGGTCGAAAGCTCCCAGAGAAACTATTAAATTTTAGGTGCTTCGAAGGCTTCTGTAATCGCCTTTTTAGTTTACTAATGTAAAAAAATAAATATGTTTCCCCGATGAATTTAAACATGTTTAGTACTTACATTTTCAGAATTAAACAATTCTAAATACAATTAGTGAAGGTTCAAACTTATAAACCTCCACCTGGTTTCATAATTCCATTATGCCATAGCTGCTTGAGGGTAGGGAGACAACTTTTTCTCAAGCACTCCTCCATGTCAGTCAGGCTATTGAGTCTGGCTCTGACGGTTTCTGTCCTAAACATTATACCCTTACCTTGACCACTCCCTTGATTGCCTTATCAACACTGGTGCCTCATTCTCTATAATTTAAAAATACGTCTAATACAAAAATATAAAATTAATGGTTGATTCACATCTGGATTTTAACCCGGAACATTCGGATAAAAAAGAAAGCAAATGCTATACCGACAAATACGTGGTGCCTGATCGGTATTACTCGAATACACGTGGACCAACAATCAATTTAGATAATTTGCTATATTATGGCGCCTTGTACTACTTTAAGGGCATTCACACCGAATCTTAATTTCGGATCGAAAGGCCTACCCATCCTAAACAGAAAAATCAAATCAGTATGTAAAAATAGGGAGTCGGAAACGTGGTCCGAATTTTGATTAGACCCATTGATTGATATGAAAAATGTCATCATTTTTTTTTTTTTGGGGGGGGGGTTCTGGTCTCATCCCAATATTGTCTCCAGGCATCCGATATAAATACGCTCTTATAAAATGTTTTCTTGTTCATTTTTACATGTCTTTCAGATGGCTAGTAGACTTAACTCGAAATATTATCTTGTGTGTGACTTGGAATCGACTTGCGTCTACCCTCGACAACAAGACTGGGAACCAGAAATTATTGAAATTGGTGCAGTTTTGCTTAATAAGCAACTCAAACAAGTACATTTTTTATCTTTGAAAAGTGGAGCTTATTTATCTTAAATATTTCCTATTTATTTAAATTAACAAATAATAATTAGGTTTATATAAGTTATTGACCTACTTGTTTCTTTTTGTATTGAGTGAAGTATGGGAGGAAATAACAGGTTAGCGTATCAGTTTGCGTTGTAAAAAGTCTTACTTTGGTTCTGTAGTTGATTCTTTAAATTTAAAATATAGTCTGCCTCGTGTAAATATCTGTTTTTGGTAAGGTAATAATATCATCATTATCCTTAACATCAACATCATCATTACCATCATGGTTACGATTCTTGAGACAGGTTCTGATATCAGCAGTTATTTTGGCACGCTGAAGAGAGAGACAATCTTGTTATCAGGAAGAATTGTCCAAACAAAGGCACATTTCACGTTTACCAGACAGTGCAACATAAATTACATTATTGCATGAGTAATAATAATAATAATAATAATAATAATAATAATAATAATAATAATAATAATAATAATAATAGTGTAGTTTTATATAGCGCACATATCCATCTAATGTAGTAATACAATTATTACAATAATAATACCAAACTGTTGTACTAACTTGTACCTGTACAGTATGTTAGTTTTTTTTTTTAGCACTGTTGAGAAAATACTTGTGTCTAAAGTAGAAAAGGGATAATAATTATGGAATTAATATTGTTAGGATTATAATAATATTAATTTTTATGACATTTAAAAACAAGCAATATATTATTTATAGGCTTACAGTACCTTAATAATTTAACAAGAAATCACTATAATCTTCCAGAATTACAAATCTAACCGTAATATTAACAAGTGCTGGAGATAGTGATGGCAAAATTATGATTTAAACCATTTCTCTTAAATTTTAGATCAGTGAATTTCAAGAGTATGTTTGTCCGAATGTAAATAGAAGATTGACTCGATATTGTCTGGATCTTACAAAAATAACCCAGGTAAGCATGTAGGTATATCATTAAACCCCAACATATAGTGATACACCAAGGATTTCTAACAGCTTATTTATAAGTCATTGGGTCCGTTTACTGTGATTTTGAACTAGTACCAGTACTTCGCAACTTCTTATTTTGGAAACTGCTTCGTTTATTCCCATATCTCCACAGCCTGGCCTCTTTCCTTAGTCGATTTAATAGGATTATTCGAAGTGAATACAAGAAAATAGTCCGAAGACAAATTCTAGTGAGGTCTTTCTGGTGGTGATTGGGTATACATATTGAGACAATCCCCTACTGGTGTGCTGAGTTCCCTAACGTCCACAAAAATATAATATTACACTTACACGGCTTAAACGGCTCTTTCGAAAGACGATGCTTGCATTTCAGTCTTGTAGCTGAAAAACAAGGACAGCAGCGGATGAAATTGAGCAGGTAGCAACTTCCCACTATTCACTTCTTCTTTCCCACATTTTCTTAATTCCTCATTCCCTTTTTTTCTGTAGTTCATTTTTTTTCTCCCATTCAATACTCAAACTTCTATTGTTTTTTCCATGATTCTTATTCCAAAAATCCCTTTCACCCAATCTCTCTTTTAGTATTTCTTTCTCTACTTCCATATAACAGTATAAATGGCCTGCTCATATTGTTACTTGCTATAAGCTATAGAATATTTGTAACTGCGTCATAGCTATTTATAAACATATTGTTTTGTCCTTGTAAACAGAGAGATGTTGACAGAGCAGATCCATTTCCAGACGTGTACGGACGGATGGTGAAATGGATGACAGAAAACGGATTAAACCTTCAGCCAGGAAGTCAAAACTTTACTTTCATCACTGACGGGTATTATGTGCTCTTAGTTTTTAATGTTTAGTCCTATTAATTGCCACTTCAGCAAGGACGACAAATAACGTGGAATTGAATAGCTTGCTGGTTAAGGTGCCTTCCATTCTCTGCAAGGTCCTGGGTTCAAATTCTGTCATATTCCATCATTTTTTTCTTTAGTCCATAAACCTCGATTTCAGACTTACTGTACGTTATGTAGAGCATCATGTATATAATAATTTATGTTTATCATGTGAAGGGATTGTCAGTGATAAAGTCGTTATATGTAATCAGTGGTCGTGTGGTGAAAATAGTAAAGATAATAAAATTGATGTTGACAATTACGACATTTATGATGACTACGAATGTTAATAATAATTATATTAATTATTGTCATCATCATCATCACCATCACCATCATCATCATCATCATCATAATCATCATCATCATCATCATCATCATCATCACTATCATCATCAACAACAATATTATTATTATTATTATTATTATTATTATTATTATTATTATTATTATTATTATCATTAACAAAAATCATTCAATTAATCCATACCATACCAATCAGACAAGGCCTGTAAAATACCTTGTACCAAGTGAAGTTGATAATTTAGTGACGTCTTTAACTATTATTAGCCAGTTAATTATACACGATGAGTTACTTACATCAGAAGTATATTCCACTCATGAACTCTCCATTTTTTTAATTATTTTTTTTTAGTATCTTTGACTGCAACCAGTACATACGAAATCAGTGCAAGCTCTCCAAGATAGCGTTTCCAGAATGGGCGAAACATTATGGCAACATAAAAAAACACTTCACCTCCGTTCTACCATACATGCGGAGGACTGATGGGAGGTCGAACAGCATCACTGACATGATGGAAAAGCTAAGTATGAACAAAAACTATCTTTTTCCGTCTGTAATATTTAAAAACTGCTTACTAATAGAACTTTTTCTGTCCAGACTATCAAATTTTATTTGATATACTGGAGGGAGCTTAACCCGCTTTGAATTTGATACGCTAAATCGATTGCATTATATATAGTGAGAAGATCTCTTGTCTGACATAAGTGCCACTGGTCATCAATACATTTTGTGCTGTATGCTGAATTTCTGAACACCAAAACCTAGCCCTACTATTGGTTTTGCTGAATCGATCACCTGTCACTGCACCGCTGGTGTGACAGGGCTACTTAGGTGCGCCATTGTTTAATAGGACCGCTTCAGGTGTGTTCAGGTGTACTCGCCGTAATTATGACGTCATTGAGACGAACTGCTCTTGGTTCACGCTCTGATATTCCGCTCGGTGCAAGTAATGCGTTACAGTGTCCTGTAATTAATACTGATGATGATGATGGTGATACTTCTACTCCGAGCGTCACTAATATCAATTGCGATGTACTGATCAATGAATTGTTGTGTTTCCTTGTTAATAACATGGGGTCAATGACCTTTGACCGTCTTCATGCTATCAGCGTGGCAAACTTTACATTGGATGACAATAAAGTTGCTAAGGATCTGATTTGTGCATGTGTACCCGACAAGGAGATTAAAGTACATAAACCAAGAAGGAAAGGTGACATAATGCTAACAGATATACTTGGTAATCTGGTGAATTGTAACATGTCGAAATTACCTACATTCGCAGCTGCAAATCTGGCTAAGATACCGTTTGTTGATGTTGAGCACATTGATGCTACAATGCTTCTCAGAGAAATGCATAAGCTTCGTTCGGATTTCACTGTAATGAAGGCTGATATCGCTTTTGCGACTACTCAGCGGGTGTAAATTAGCCCAAAAAGTGAGAGACACTATGATTGCACAACAACAAGTTGTTCCTGCTTCTCTGAAACCTGAACATACCCTGGCCACAGCAAAAACATTTGCGGAGGCAACTAAACATCTTCTGAATTGCATCAAAATCGTATCGCTAAGAACGATAGCTCACTCGATAGTCGCGCACACCCAAAGGGGAATCCCCATATTAAGGGAAACCCCCGTTCTAAAGAGGGAGATTTGACGAACCATGATCCGGCATTTGTTTTATCAAATAAGGACGTAATTAATGGTGATGCATCCGAGGCGACGCGATCTTACTGGAGTCGGAGCGACGAACACGGGTACCGTTTTCAGCGAAGAAAACAACGACGACGGTCGAAATTTAAAAGAGGAACTCCGCCATATAAACTGTACCTGGAAATATGGATATCGATACAAAAAACGCTGATGTGCAGTCCTATATGAAGAGATCAAAGGGCATTGATATCACTGTCAAATGACCTCCCGAGTAAACGATCGGACTATGTTTCTTTTATGGTACAATGTGATTATTGTGATAAAGATATTGTTAACGATACCAGCATATGGCCGAAAATATGCGATTATTAGGATTTTCTATGAACCTAAATATAATGATGTTAACGATGGATATTGACGTAGACAGTAATAAAGCCATTAGAGTGGCTTCAGTAAATTGTAATTCCTTCAAGTCAACTAGTAAGGAAATATTTGACCTCTGTGATAATCACGATATTGTTTGTCTACAGGAGACATGGTTAATTAAAGAGGAGCTCCCTTTGCTTAAATCATTCCATACTGATTTTGACTGCTTTGGTGTCTCACCGGTAGATAGCTCAACATCTTTACTTTTAGGACGCCCTTATGGGGGAGTTGCAACCCTTTTCGGAAAACGTTACATGATATTGTCAAACAGGTTAATTTTAATGATAATAGGTTAGTTGCCATTGAGGTTGGAAAGAGTCGCCATAAAACATTATTTGTTAATGTCTACTTACCCTATCAGTTAAATGACACTTTCGTGGAATTTGTTGAATACCTTGGTAAATTTCATAGTATTGTTGATGAATTTGATACTGATAAGGTAGTCTTTATTGGCGATTTTAACTCTGACTCTAAGAAGAGGTTTGGAACCGAATTAGTGAATTTCTGTTCTGAATATAATATGTATATTTCTGATATTAATTACTTTGAAATTAATTCTGACACGTTCACTTACTTCAGTGATGCTCATACTTCAACGAGTTGGCTCGATCATGTTGTGTTTACAAGTAGTTCTCACTCGGTATTAAGTAATTTTAAGGTCTAAGGTTTAAGGTTCAATGTTTATGCATGGCTTTGTGCCTCAGAATCTTACTAAAGTCACTCTTCTTCCCATAATTAAGTCGAAATCTGGTAACATTGCTGATAAGAGCAATTATTGGCCTATCGCACTAGCGTGTGTAGCATCTAAACTTTTAGAGTCAGTTATGATTGAAAACTGTGGTGATACATTTATGTTCTAATGACAATCAATTTGCCTTTAAATCGGGACACTCTACTGACCTTTGCATATTTGTGCTAAAACAAATAATTGAATACTACAATAATAACTGTAGCCCCGTTTACTGTTGTTTCTTAGACGCTAGCAAAGCGTTCGATAAAGTCAACCACTGGACGTTGTTTAAGACGCTGGTTGAACGAGGTACCCCACCCCTGTTATTCGAGTCCTTCGATCATGGTATCGTTCGCAGGAGTTTGTTGTCAGGTGGGGTAGCTGCATATCTGATCCTTTCTCCGTTAGGAACGGAGTGCGTCAAAGTGTGTCATGTCTCCATTACTGTATAATGTATACACTGATCCGCTTAATGTACTTTTAGATAATGCTGAAGTCGGATGTGAATTAAACGGTACTAAAATCAATTCTTTAAGCTATGCTGATGATTTGATACTTATGACTACAAAGTCTTATTGGACTACAAAGTCTTATTGATATTTGTGATACTTTTGCTAGTGATTATGATATCACGTTTAATGAGTCTAAATCAAAATGTATGGTAATCTGTCCTAAGGAGGGTAACCTGCAAGGCGAGCCTCGTATTACACTTAAATCATCCCTTTGTTATCTGTTAACTCTATTACCTAACTTGGTCACGTTATAAACAATAACCTTAGCGATGAGTGTGACATTAAACGTCAATACCGTTCGTTATGTATAAGATCTAACTCTCTCATTAGGAAATTTGGTAAATGCTCTATGACGACTAAATGTTATTTTGTTTAAATGCTACTGTGTTAGTATGTATTGTTCTACTCTTTGGTGTAGATATAACAAAGGTACTATAAGATCGTTAAAAGTCTGCTATAATAATGCCCTTCGTTTATTACTGCGACAACCGAGGCACTGTAGTGCGAGTTTTATGTTTGTATCCAATGGTGTACTGTCCTTTGGCGAGTATCTTAGAAACTCTATACATAGTTTCAGGAACCGTGTGGAAAACAGCTCTAATTCAATCGTTTTGGCCATTAAGCATTATGCTCTTTCCAATTCTAAAATGTATAATAAGTGGAACACTGTCGTCCATTAAGATGATTCCTGATCTTGATGTTTTTCTTAATGCAGTCTATTTTTCACTTTTGTCTTATATTTATATGTATT